TTCCCACGAGACTCCACGTGAATATCAGACACGTCACTGTGGTCAGCAGCATCCCACACGGGATGCCACAGTGATTCCGCGTGCATGTTCTGTCGCCCCTCACTGTAACGGCATGATTTTAGTGTGTAATTCAATAAAAGCGTCAATTCCAGTTTCATCCTGTTTATCTTGGCTCTTTCTACTCTCTGCCTCGCTCTCACGCATCAGCTAATCCTCTAGGCATGTGAGGCCTGCATGTGTTATAGGGATGCACTGTCCTTTATCCAAGTAGCTGAAATTAAAACAAACAATGCAGATCGGCCAAAGAGAAAACGCATAGTCATGGAAAGCATAAGCCAGGGGTCAGAGGCTGGATGTACGTGTCGCTCCACCCGGTGACCAGGTGTTTCTGGACAAAGGACAGTCACAGAGCCCCCACGTGTACAAGAAATGGGCCCCTAAGTCCCATGCACTTGGAGCTCAGGTCCTGGACAGGACTGTCTCGTGGACAAACACTGGCCAGGGCAGGTTGCCCACAGGCCAGAGACCATCCCTCCAGAATGGCGAGGGTGCCTGCACCCGACAACCCCAGGATCCATTACTTACCAGCACAATTATTAATAACCCTCTTACACCTACAAGTGTCCCAGTTTGTGTGACAAATTATACGATCACCCAAAAGTGCTCTAAGGGGATCTGTAAGTAGCTGATCTCTGCAAAAGCTACTTTGTGAGACTTTATTAAAGACACATCTGAAAACCCGCACCACTTAGGGGAGTGCATAGTGCCCAAGACCAGGGTCTAAATACAAAGGTCTGGGCCCAGCCTGCCACTCTGGGTCCCTGGTCAAGTCGGCTGGTCACTCAGGCCTCGGTCTCCTCAGGGAGACAACACAAAGCCAGCCCCCGCTTGCCCTGGATCTTGTAGAGGGAAACAATGAAAGGCCATGTGCATACATGTACGTGCGCGCGTGTGCACGTATGAAACGTCATCCAGGGAGTACTGCTAGCTGCAGCTGTTCTGTTACCCACGTGTTGTTTTTCAAAGTAAATACTAATTTAAGATTTTTTTTTTGTAATATGGAAAGTCTCAGATTCCTAAAACCGTTAAAGAATGAACGTTATTTTACATTTTGTTTTCTATCATAGGCCAGATAGTCATCCAAGTTTGGTGATAGGATAAACCATTTTTCACAAAACATCTCAAAGGAAAAGCTCTGATAGATTGCTAGCTGCAGCTGTTCTGTTACCCACGTGCTGTTTTTCAAAGTAAATACTAATTTAAGATTTTTTTTTTTTAATATGGAAAGTCTCAGATTCCTAAAACCGTTAAAGAATGAACGTTATTTTACATTTTGTTTTCTATCATAGGTCAGACAGTCATCCAAGTTTGGTGATAGGATAAACCATTTTTCACAAAACATCTCAAAGGAAAAGCTCTGATAGAAATAATGTAAAAAACGTCCCCACACCTCTAGCCATCCACTTAGGATTCTCTCAGCCCAAGTCTGCTCTGTGTGGAGGGTCAACTACGCACTCGCCTTGGAACACTGCAGCTGTCCCTCTGGGTTCTGTGGACTGAATGTGTATGTCCCCCTACATCCACATGTTAAAATCCCCACCCCCAGAGTGATGGCTTAGGAGACGGGGCCTGCAGGAGGTGGTTAGGTCACGAGGGTGGAGCCCTCATGGAAGAGACCGGACAGAGACGATTTCTCTTCTCACCATGCGAGGCTATGGTGAGGTGAGACTGGTGCCCTTAATAAAGGGCCCCACAGGGCTTTTTCACTAGCCTGTGAGGACACAGTGAGAAGGCCACCTGCAAGCCAGGAAGTGGGCCTTCACGGACACTGGATGCGTCAGCCCCTTGATCTCAAACCTCCAGCCTCCAGAACTGAGAAAAATCAATTTGTCATTTAAGCCACCATGTCTGTCTTAATTTGTTAACAGAAGCCAGGGCGAGAAACTGGACTTATGAAAGTATTGGGGGGGACACTGTTGAAGAATTATAACCACAGTTTTCAAGCTGGGGCTGCCTCTTTACTGTCATGGTCATGGCATATAAAAAGTCGTGAGAAAATGCCTCCCTGCCGGGAGAACAGGGGGCACCGCTAAGAAATGGAGCAGGCCGAGCCCTGCAGGCCGGGTCGGCCCTTCCCAGACCAGCACCGCTGATGGCTCGTGGGTCAGTGGCCCACGTGCTCGGGAAGGAACCCGTCTGGTGGGTTTGCTGCATCGTGGACTGAAGCTTTTGTAAAATACAATACAAACGTGCTTCAATGCACAGCAATGTCAAGAGGCTCCTATACGCTTGTTTGCGGCATCTTTACTTGTATAGGCGGCCTCTGTGGAACCAGCGACTGCGAGGGATGCTCTGGGCAGGGGCAGTTCAGGGCACCAGGTGAGGAGGCTCCAGCAGAGCACTGGTCCCCCGCCCACCCAGTGTGGTGTCGTCCTGCGGGAGGAGAGGGCGGTGCCAAGGCTCTTGGCTGCAGGGAGTGCGGTGCTGGGCGCATGCATCTCCAGCTTTGACATGCTCAGGATCAGCCGAACAGGACCCATTGCCACCGTCCCCAGACAGCAGGAGCTGGAGCTGTGACGGGACCTGCCTGTGTGAGCCAAGGGCCGCCTCTGGCCATGTCAGCGTCTCCCTTCCCAGGGCTCCACACTGAGTTCTTAGCAGCATCCACACCCATCCAAAATCTCAGATCCAGAAAGAAGGCTGGGGTCATGACTGGTGGGTAGATGCTTGGAATACAACTGTCAGGAGCTTTATTTATGCCACTTTGCCCTGGAATGCAAGGCTGTGAAGGCAAGTCTGTCGGGCATCACCTGCACATAACCTGCCCATGGTGGGCCCCAGTATTCACTCAGCGGCTTTGTTGAGCAAAGGAGGCCCAGCCCCAGGACCACGCCCAGTGAGGCCCTGTGGGGCTGCAGGTCTGCCGCACAGCCGGCTCCCATTGCGCTTAGGACCCCAGGACAGAAGTATGCTCCGGGGCTAATGGGATTGCAGCTCGCCATACGCGAGGGCTGTGTCCTGTAGCCTTGTTTCTCCAGGCACAGAGCTTGAGCAAGGGGACAGCCTCAGGGGGCAGGGACCAACCCATCGCCCTCGCCACCATGCCACTTTGTCCAAGATTCTAGAGTCTCTCGACCAGTAACCCCAGCCCAGCCTCCGAAAGGCAGGAGTCAAACTAACTCAACTCTTGAGTAATCTCTTAATTTTCTAAAAAAATTTGGTTGGTGAAAATATTGAGAAATGCACGTAAATACAGAGCAAAGAGCAAGGCAAAAAAAAAAAAAAAAGCCAGTCTTTCTCCAATACACACTGCCGGAGGGGAAAAAAAAGGCTGAGAGAACGATACAAAGCACAACACAGACAACTTTATTTCCAAAGAAGACTGGCTTTGGGAAATAAATCAAGATATTGACCTTTTCAGAGGAAGAACATACATTAATGTTTGCACTGTGGTTTTAGGTTTCTGGGGTTTCCTGATTAGCAATGTGAAAATGCAGTGATGATATTTAACTATTGGACTTCTCTGGACTTAGTGACATATCTACTTCCTAATGAAGGTGATACTATCATTTGGTTTTGTGATGTATAATACTTTAATAATCCTAACACTATAATCCTTGTTTTATTGAGTTTAAGTTTTTATGATCAACCTGTGGACAAAGTGTGGAAGACGATTTTGCTGAGGAGAGAGTTAAAATGTTGTGAGCCTTGTTAATGTCCTATAACATCATCACCAAAATCAGGAGGCAGGCAGGAAGGCGAGAGGGGAGGAGATCGCAGATTGCCAGATTCCTCTTCCTGCAGAGCAGCAAGTCCTCAGGGACAGTCTAAAGTAAACCGGACGTGACAGCCTTGGCAGTTAAAAGTATCATGGAAAACAGCATAAGTCAAAAGTGACTCCAAGGAGTGAGACTGCTCCAGTGGGGAAGAAATTTTATTCTTCATTTAAGATTATTCTGCACATTTCTTCTAAGAATGGATATTCCCTTAATTAAGACTAAATGAATGAATAAAATAGGCAGCCCAGTTCCTAGACGCATGGGGCTGGTTGCTGAGCCTCTGCAGGAAAGACTCCTCCAATGCCCAGGACCCTGGTCACCTGCCCAGCCCTTGTCCCTCCACAATCAGTACTCTCGGAGATTTCCAGGCTCAGACACGCTCCCCAGTGTCTTCTAGAGGGTGACCTAATGCTACCATGTTTTCTGGAGCAACAGTCAATAAGTACATGAAAAGGCAGGTTGAGCCTCTCCCTGCAGCAGCTTTGGGCAGTGCTAGCTGGACCTGGCTGCCCAGCTCCCACCAGCATGAATAGAAACAGAGATCTAAAGGAAGCAAACACGGAAAACCCTACTCAAAGCCTGCTGCAGACTGACTGAATTGTGGCCCCAAGTCCATATATTAGAAGCTTAATTCCCACTGTAACTGTTGAGGGTGGGAACTGCTATTATGGTCATTGAAAGGTGAGGCCTTGAAGAGGTGATCGGGTTGCAGGACCGTGCAGTAGTGAATGGATTAATAATGGTGGTCAGGGGCGTGGTGCTGAGGGCTTCAAAGGAGAACACGTGACAGTTTCCCTTTCTTCTCTGCCATTTTCTGCCATGTGAGACCCCTGGGTTGCTGTAAAGCCACCAACAAAGGAGACCCTCGCCAGGTATGTTCCCTGGACTTTAGATTTCCCAGCCTCTGAAACTGTAGGCAAAAAATTTTGTTTTCATTATAAGTCACCCAGGTTCAGGTATCTATGTTATAAGCAACAGAAATGGACTAGTACAAAGGCCTTCCCTCTCTGAAACTGTAGGCAAAAAATTTTGTTTTCATTATAAATCACCCAGGTTCAGGTATCTATGTTATAAGCAACAGAAATGGACTAGTACAAAGGCCTTCCCTGCCCTCCAGGTCCAGAGCAGAAGCCACACCTGGAAACAGCCTGCTCCAGACTCACCTGAGTGGCTGAAGGACTGCAGGACAGGAAAAAGCAGGGTGAGCTGCTACCTTCCCACCTGGAGAGCACCTGCAGCCACCTCTTCTCTGGCAGCAGCTGCTCCGAGGCCAGCTCTAGCTAAGGGTGATCACCACGTGGCTGTGTCTCCCATGCAGGACCTCTGTCCCCCACCACAGGATCCACATGCCCAGAGATCTGGCATGGGTACCTGCAGGAGCTCGGCATCACGGGCTGGGGCCACAGCCATAGGCCCCAAGCCCTGCCGTGGTTAGAGGACGAAAGAGCCACCCTACGTATGGGGCTTACTCACTCCAGTCTCCAGAAAGTCCACCAGCCAAGCTGCATTCCTTCAGACAAGCGTAGCTCAGCTAGGACCCCTGTAGGAATGCCCATCTGGTCCCATGCCCTATCCTGCACCAGGCCTGCTCTGCCCCCACATCTGAGGACAGAGGACCACACCTCCTCCAAGCAGACGGGACCATTTTTAAGAGCAGGGACCCTGCCTGTCACACTTCCTGGAACTCCCACCTCCTCCTCAGCACCTCCAGTCCTCAGATCAGGTGTGGCAGGCTTGTCCCCCAGAAGGCTGGGGAGGAAGGGACCATCCCTGTGTCTGTGTCACAGGAAAGCAGCCGCAGGCAGAGGAAACAACGGGGTGGGCCAGCACCAACGCGCTTGTTCACGGCTCTGAATGTCACTTTCACAGACTTTCACTCCATGAAATATCACTCTTCTTTTGATTTTTTCAACCACTTAAAAATGTAAGATGCATAAATCTTGGGCCAGACAAAACCAGGCCCAGCTGGCCCAGGGCCCAGTAAGGAGGACCCTCTCCAGACTCCACGGATCTGGTTCTGTGTGGAGCCCTTGCCCACCCTGTCCCAGAAGATGAACCTATTCCTTTCTCTTGTGTTTTGGAGGCTTTGTGTTCAGGCCACAGGTAAACACAACCAATGAATGCAAAGCTGCCCGCTCTGCCTTCTGAAGACACAGCGCAGGTCTGTTTGTTTCTGCATGCTGTTTCCTCTGAGAAAAAGCATCCACAACTTCTTCCTTGATTGTTAAAAAAGAAATCAGTATTTTTCCTGCTTTCCAGACCAAAAAATTGGCCAGAACTGCGTACAAGTGGACTCCTTCCCAGGCCATTTTTTTCTGCTCCAGAAAACCCCCCCTGCGGGGCTGAGGCTGAGGACGGCAGTGCCACCAGAGGGAAGGGGCCACACTCATCTCCTGGGCACACAGGGAGGCGTGTGGAAACGACTGCATGAATGAGCCTGAAATCCATCATTTCCAACTAAGTCTGTCAGTGAAAACATAAGCCAGCTGACATCGTTCTAATTAGAAACTGCCGTGAAAACAGCAACTAAACGGGAGCCAGTGCCCAGCAGACCAGGTGAACGCAATCCCAGGCAATGGGAAATGGCAGCTCTCATGTTTGCTCAAAACTTGCATGTGTCTTCCTGTTGTGAAAACAGGACACAGGTGCAGATATGTGGCTGTGTATTCTAATTAAAAGAACATACCATGCTGTACGGCAGGGCAGGGTGTTTTCCACTGAAATCCAAGGACACGCATGAGGGTCTACAAGTTCTCTGGGGGAGCCTGCTTTCCAGCCCTGGCCTGTGGCAGCTTCACTGGCTGAGGATGTCAATGGCCAGAGGAACCAGGAGCTGAGAACTTCCAAGCACTGAGACACTCTGTGGGAGGACAGAGCCCAGGTCTGAGCTGGCCACGGGCAGCTTCGCTTTCTTTAAAAGGGCCCGCCTCTCTGCCCAGCCCAGCCCCTGCCATCTGAATGTCTTCCATACTCACGGTTAAGGTAATGGTCCATGGAAACAGAAAAAGTCTACGTGGGTGCAAATACACACAGACGTATGTTCCAGGCAAGTGCAGCACTGGTCACACTGCCCTGAGTAGGCTAGTCCATCTCTTCTAACCGGGCAGCAGGTAGGAGTGACATTGCCCACAGGGGAAGTAACACACAGGCCTGAAATCAGGCCCCACCTGTACCACCTAACTGGCTGTGGCTTCCTGGACAAAGACCTTGACCTCTCTGAGCCTCAGTTTACTTGTCTATGACCTCAGGGGGACAATATCACCTGCCCTGCAGGACCACTGTGAGGACTAAATGAAATAACATGTGTGAACTGAGAAACTGTCAGGGGGGATGGGGGAGGCAGCAGGCGGGGGGCCTATGGACGCCCTCCCCAAGGAACGAGGGGTCTGTGGCCAGCATGCAGGGGCCACCTCGGGAAAGGATGCATAGCACCTTGCGAGGGGACCACGTCTGGACCCACAGTGAGGGGACCGGCCTCAGCGCCAGGCTCGACTGCCCTGGGTGCGTGCCCGCACAGCCATCTCTGCCCGTCTCCTTCGTCGCAGAGGGATTGCTCCTGGACACTCCGAGGACAAACACGTGCTGAAAAGCCTTTGAAGGCTGTGCAGTTCCATTCCGCTCCTTTATGTCACACCAAGCAGACAGGTTCAGAGATGTGAGTCCATTTGCCTCAAATCATACAGCTCAATGGGGCAGGACTTCAGGAAACTTTGACCAAGAGGTCCCTACGACCCTCTTCTCCCCCGGACACGGTCTCAGTAGCCCCTCACCCAGCACGGTCTGAAAACAGGGCAGCACTCGACATTCCCCAATTTTAACTTGGCTGAGACACACGTATTGACAGAAAGACTACTTTGATTTCAATACAACCGTCTACCATGAAATGCTAGATCCACTTCAAATTTAACTTAGAAAACAGGACCACGTGACATTTCCCCCACATATGACACCAGTTGTGGTGACTCCAGAAGAGAAAAGCGTGCTTGGCTGGTGAATTCCTGTCCCCCTAACAATAGGTGGAGGCCCAGACTGGCCAGTGGAAAGCCTGACAGGAGCAGATTCCCAGCTGTCTGTCCGCTATTCAGGCCGCTTTGTTCTGTGTTCAGACGCCTGTGGGTCAGTTCAAATGCCTCTAGCCTGGGGCCATCGGACTCAACTGGTCTCAGCGGCTTTTCCTGACAGTAACCACATGGCCGGGAACAATGGCTTCTACACACAAACGATGAAGACTTCGCCACACCCTCCTGAATCTCTGTGAATTCTTACTGGGGGAAATAATGCTGCAATAGATTCACCTAATTTAACTAACTGGTGAAAAGTTAAGAATCAGGTTGCCAAATTGTCGACGTGGGAAAGTTTTTATTTTTGGAAGAACGTCTTCTAATAAATGCAGAAGGAAGCACGGACAGCTGACCTGAGGCCAGGGGCCATGGTCTACTCCACTGACCCACTACACTAACCTGCTGCACTAACCCACCACACTAACCCTACTGCACTAACCCACTGCACTGACCTAGCATACTGTACTACTCTGCTAATCTGTAATACTAACCTACTGCACTAACCTAGCATAATATCCTACTCTACTAATCTGTAATACTAACCTACTGCGCTAACCTACTAAACACTTCGCAGTACCAATCTACTCTGCTAACCTATTGCGCTGACCTGCTGTAGTGACCTACCACATAACCTGCCATGTCGCCTACTGTGCTGACCAACCATGCCAGCCCAGCGCACTCACCTGCTCCACTCACCCGCAGGGACCCCGAGACACTCCCTGTTGAGTCCCTTGTTCCAACGGTTAAGCTAAGAACATGGGTACCAGGTGTCTCAAAACAAAGGAATTTGAAGGCAGAATTTTAAGGTCAGAATGAGCGGCTCCCTCGGCTGGCAGCGAACGGGGACAGGTGTTTGCAGATACTGGGATGTCCACAGACAGGGGAAGGCAGAGGGAGCACAGGGCCCGGACGCTGGGCAGTGCAGAAGCCAGCAGCCCCAGGATGTGCAGTGACAGGGGCCAGGCAGGGCGGGCACCAGGCCACGGGTCTCAGGCCACCGTCAGCCTCCTCCTCCCTCTTGTAACTCGTCAGGTTTCAAGCAGACACGGAACCAAGCACATGCCACGATGCCCTGTTCTGCAGCCCCCCAGGACTCTGGCCCCAAAGAAGAGCTTTTATGGCCACTGACGAAACCCGGCCCTGAGGAGCGTGCCCAGTAGGACATGCGGGAACAATGCAAAGTCCGCCCGCAGTGCGCACTGGGCAGAGAGGGCAGCCCGAGCCTACACGCAGGAATCGCGGCAGCCAGCGCCGGGTCAGGTGGAGACTGGACCGTGGGCTGCGCTTCCCTCCATACCCGGCGCCTGCCGGTGCCTCTCGCCAGTGCTCCACGCCTGCCCTCTCTGTGTCCTCTGCTCCCCACACTGAGGAGGCCACTCACCTTCACCCCTCCCAGCCCCAGCCCTGCAGGGACCCGAGGACGAGCCGCGCAGGACAGAGTGGCCAGCCCCGGTCACAGTGGTCTTTCTAGCACTAATCCTTACACGAGTCACGCAAAGCCTTCACACTTCTGGGGTTACGACGCCTATGTCAGGAGTGAGAAGGAAGCGTGTCGCTACAAGGCAGGACGCCGTGGGGCAGCCTACCTGGGACCCTGGCAGGGGCATACACCTGACCCCTCTGCCTTGGTTTTCGTCCTCGCCTGGAAAATGCGACTAGCGGTAGTGCCCATGCAGGGCCTGTGGGGAGAACTGGAGACAGCAACCCCATGGCAGGTGCTCAGGGAGTTACAGCGAGGGTCCCGCACCCAGACAAGGACCCCTTGGTGCTCAGCAGGGGAGAGGAGGGGACAGCTGACCATGCAGGGAAGACCTCCTCAGCCACCAGCCTGGTCTCACCATAGAGAAATACGCACACACAGAGAAGCGGACTGCTGGTGAAGTGGCAGGTGTGCGTGAGGCTGCACACAGATGTGCATGACGCAGGCGGTCTCGTCATGGTCAACAGAGAATGCGCAACTTCGTTAACAGACACGCGGGGGACAGACAAGTGCACACGCCCGTTGTGGGCTGCAGGATCACCAACAGTATTTACTTACAGTATTTAAAAATCTTCTAAAATGAATGATCTTGCTACATAAAAATAAATATGCAAAAGAGGGGTTACTTTCCCCCGGGCCCAATGTGCTTTCTCCAGGCTTCCCAGCCCGTCATCTCTTCTCTCTCTGACCAGCCCCCTGGTTCCAAAGAGCCCCTGTTCCTCTCACAGGGGCTTTTACAGCCTCTCTGGACTCTGCAACCACAGGCTTCTGTTCTCAGCTCCCACGGCCGGCTGCTTATTTTCTGAACATTTTTCTAGTCCAAGTTCCCAAGAGAGAGCATCTGTGTGGGCTAAGCCAGCCGCAAATGA